AGATCTAAGGACCTCGGTTCAAAGCCAGCCTAGGCAGGAAAGTCCCTGAGACTCTTATCTCCAAAAAGCCACTAGAAAACTGGAAGTGGCACTGTGGCTCAAGCAGTAGAGTGTTCGCCTTGCGCTGAAGAGCACAGGGACAGAGTCCAAGTGCAGAGTTCAAGCCCCACGACTGACAAAAAAAAAAAAAAAAGTACACCAGCCCTGGCCCCCCTCCCCAAAAGACAACAATAAAAAAAACATCAATTTCTAGTGGGAATCAACAGTTCAGATCAAACAGCCTTTCCCTCAATTCTAAGGGTAGGATACACGGTCTAGGCTAAGCCAATAAATGACCCCTGCCTCTAATGGCTGATTCACACGTGTTTGTGAACTTATCTAGCCCACAGTGAATCTCAAGACTTTTGCTGGGAATTCTGGGATGTAGATTCAATTTTTTTCTTGTTCTGGTGTGAAATTCAAATATGATGTCTGGAACTGCTGCAGCCAATTTGCTACCTGAAAGAAGCCAGCCCAAAAGAGATATTGAGGGCAGGTAAGAGATTAAAATACTATTTCCAAGAACTCCTGGTGTTCGTTCACTAGGTTCACAGGCTGAGGCTCTGTGGACCCAAATGGGTGTGCTTACCTGAGGTGTGGTTTTCATAGAGGCCTTGATTTGGTATAGTAGTCCAAAGATGATGGGGAAGGCCCTGAGGAAATGGGAATGGATGAAAGATAACACCTAAAATACTCATGACCATGGCAAGGTTCTTTTTCCTTGGCAAATGCCAATGGGAAAAGATGAAGAATCACTTATCAGGTAGCTGCTACTTTTCATTCTCTTTGAGGCTGGTTCTAAGGCTTGAACTCAGGGTTTCCTGCTCTTGCTTGGCTTGCTTGCTCATATCTGGTGCACTACTACTTGAACCAGGCCTCTAGTCCAGCTTTTTGCTGGAGGCAGAATCTCATGGACTTTTCTGCCAGACTGACTTTGAATGTGATCTTCAGATCTCAGTCTCCTGAGTAGCTAGGAATACAGGAGTGAGGCACTGGCACCCAGCTTCTATTACCCTTCTAATGGATGCTGTGATTCTCATTTTAGAGTGAGTTTGTTGAAGCTTAGAGGTTAAGTGTCCTTCACCTCCCTCCTTGTCAAGGCACATAGGAGGCTGGCCCTGCCAGGATCTAATCACCAATTTTTTACTCTAGTATTGGGATTTGAACTCAGAGCCTAAAGCTTGCTCAGATGATTCTGTACCACTTGAGGCATGCCTCTAGCCCCACAGGTCATCTTTGTCACTCCCAGAACTCATACCACTGGGCACATGTTTGGAACACAGCTTACAAAATTGAGGACTTCCTCCTCCAGTGCCATAGCAAAGACCTTCTCCTTCATTGCTTAAGCACAGATTGCAGTGTGTCCAGGGAGGAAGAATGGCACATGGAATGAACTTAAAGGGGCATCAACTGTATGTATGTGTTATTTTTTTTTTGCTTTTTTTCCTAAGCGTTAGCAGGTTTTGAATTCAGAGCCTTGTGCTTGTTTAGCCAGGCACACTACCATTTGAGCATGTCCCTAGCCCTTTTCATTTTGCTTTTCAGTTTTATTCTGCCAAGCCTGGTATGGCCTAGGTTCCTATTTATACCTCCCATGTAGCTGGGATGTTAAGGCACTCACTACCACACCTGCCTCATTGCTGAGCCTGGAGCATCTCACTAACTTTTGCCCAGGTTGGCCTCAAACCAAAATCCTCCCAATCTCCCTCTTATGTGCCTGGGATTATAGATCTGAGGCCACCATGCCATCTTTTCTGGGTTCTTGATATCATTAATAAACTAAAAAATCCCTTTCTATTGTCTTTGTACTTTGTTTGAAAAATACTATTTCCAAGAACTCCTGGTGTTGGTTCACTAGGTTGGCACATCCCCAGCACAGCGGCCTCTCTACTTTCCCTTGGACTTCGCTCTGTACTGGAATCTCCCCTCCCCTGCATGCAGCCTCTGACCTCCTGTACCACACGATTAGCCTGCTTCTCCACTCCAATTCTTTTCCAAAATAACTTACGGCAGCTCCCAACACACAGACACAAAAATGCAAAACATAAAGCAACTGGAATTGGGGTGGGGAAGAACTGTACTAAGAAGTCCTGGCAGAGAAAAGCATCACAGCTGAACACAACACAGGTTTCCTTGCTGCCAGGCCAAAAAAGAAAAGAGGTGTGGCTCAAGTAATAGTCTCAGCCTTGAGCCAAACCAGAGCTCAAGGCCCTGCGTTTAAGCCTGAGTACTGGCACAAATAAAGCAAAACCCAGAAAATGCTGCCCAACTAAACAGGGAACATAACTACTTCCAGTCTAAGCTCAGAAGGACTTGTCCTAAAAGTCTCTAAGGGACACTATACAATGGAATGTCTGCTCTTTATGTCTCCACAACAAATAATGCAGATGTGTTTGGTTTGCAGGCATCTGTACAGGTTTGGCATCTGGTCTTGCTCTCTGATACCATCGTTGCACTCCCATGTGCTCTCTGCCTGGCCATCTCCCAGCACTCAGAAGGCAAAGGCAGCTCATCACCACATTGTCCTATGCAACTCTAAACACAGCTGCTTCCAATTTTACAGCAACAGCAAGGAAGTCGCAGGATGGTAAAAGAGAAATGGGCCTTACCTGTGTCAATGTTCCCCACTCAGGTCCTTCACACTACAAAGTACATGTACATGATTTTTTTCCTTCTCATGTGATCCATGGCGCACAGTCTTTTGTCTCAGGAGTGCCTCTGACCTTTCACCTTCCCAGACATGCTGGCAGAGCGGTACAAGACCGGATGTAGCATCACAGACCTGAGCTCAGACTTGGGTTCTGCCATTCCTAGATGTATGGACCTCAAAGTGCAGACATGACATGGAGATGATAATGGCACTGATCTCCACAGGGCCACTGAGAACAGTGTATGCAGAACCTCCCCCACACAAGCATTTCATATGTGCTAAGCTATTGGTAATGAAAACACAAAAAGAAAACATTGCACATACAATCTTGAAGGTCACGACTTTTAGGAGGTGGGCAGGTAAAGAATCCTTAGCGTGATTCCTGACGTCCAAAAAGATACCAGCTTCCCAAGGTCTACATTGTCTGTGAACTTCATCAGCATTTACTGAGCATCTGCTATATACTGGCCATCCTGACTTTGTGAGCCTTTTGGTCATGCCTGTGCAGGGACCATTCTTCCAGGCCTGGTAGTGGAGGAGTAGGGCTGAGATGTTTTCTGACTCACTGAGCTATCTTCTGAGCAAAGACCATGGTTCCCAACAATACTGCTCCTTATCCCACGCTGCACACAGGAGATCCTAATACTATCCTGTGTTCTCAGAGCTGTTGACTCCTTCAAAACCAGTCTGGTACCCAGTGTCCACTGTTACTCAGAGAGGCCAAGTACAGCTGCAAGAATCACAAATCAACAAAGGGGAGGGGTCAGTTTCAAGAGACTGTATATTAATTCCAAATCTGCCTCTTCTGTGTGACCTGAGGATGAATGTGACTTCTGTGAGTTTTGGTTTCCTTTTCTATAACACAGGAGGGCAGATCTGACCACACAGGATGCTGTGTGAGGTGACATGTGGGAAGAGCAAGAAGTCTTTTCATAGGGCTTGACTCCAGTCTTCCGGAAGGGATGATTCTTCTCTCACCCAATCTTGGTTTGCAAGGAGGAAACCAAGGCCCAAGGAGGCAAACAAGTAACAGCTTACTCATTCTTCTCTTTGGTGTTTCTCAGGCTGGCTTGACAAACATTTCTTCTCAATTGGATGCATGATTACCAAGAAAGGGAAGAAAATGTTCAAGCGCATTTGAATAGCTCAGGGAATGAAAAGATATGAAAACACAAAAACATCAGGCATGTTGATACCTTGGAGTTGCCAGCTAGGAAGGAATGGAGGAGTGGATGAACGAGGAGAGGAATAGCTCATGGAGCAGGATTTCTTGTGGTAGCCAGGACCCTGCCTCTGTCACAGGATGCCTGAAGAATGGTGGTACTTTCAATCCAGATCCTTCTGCTTTTGGAAACAGAACAATTTCTCAGAAACCTCAAAGGCAACCTTCCAAAAGCATGAGAGTTTCTGTTTGAACTGATGGTTCAAGTTTATTTCTTCCGGGAAGTAAATGGATTTAAATCAGGACACACAAAGCAGAAACCAAAGGTTGTAAAAGCAGCAGCTAAAAATGTAACTGAAAACCTGCTTAGAGGTCAGAAACACTGGTTTTCTAGGCTGTGTACAGCTGCCCATTCCAAAATTATCAGCTTGGCAGGGAGCAGGTATTTTCCAATCCAACTAACATTTACCCACTTTTATGTGGCAGGCACCAAGCCAACAGTTTCTTCTTTAAAACTCCATTTAATACCAGTAAGTCTGAGAGGGTGGCATCACCAGTCTTTTTCAGAGAAAACAGGAGCAGAAGCAGGTTGCCAGTAGTTCATGCCTGTAGCTCACACCTGTAATCCTAGCTACTAAGGAGGCTGAGACCTGGAGGATCATAGTTGAGGCAAGCCCAGGTAGAAAGTTCTGTGAGAATCCATCTCCAATTAACTAGCACAAAGTTGGTTGGAAGGCATGGCTTTTCATAAGTAGTCAGTCATGACCAAGAAGGGTGAAAGTGTGAGACCCCAAGTTCAAATCCCAATATGAGCATGTGTACCCAAAAGACATATACACATACTCTACCACCACTACCACCACCAACAATAAACAACAAAAACCCCCAAAAACCTGGAGCAGAGCTGGGATTTATTCCTTGAACTCTAACCACAGTGCTGTCTTCATTAGACCAAAGTGCATGGTCTGGGCTCAAGGAAAGCCCATAGAGAGCTTAAGGTCATAAGGGTACAGGTTCTCCTTAGGAGCACGCCTGGATTCCATAGCACATAGCTGCCAAGGACCATGAGATAGTGCTTCAAGCCAGGTCTACAACTTACTGTCAATTTTAGCCCAGATTCCCTTAAAAAAAGCCACAACAGGGGATACAAATTTTTAACATTCTTTATTGACTTAGGGGCCAAATAAGGCAGCATCTGGTCAGTTAAGAAAGGCACCTTGTTGAAAATAATACATCACAGTGCTGTCAAGTGATCTCAGTCACAGAATTTGAGGATGGAAAAGACAATCTTTGGATGATATAGCTTAGGATACGTGCTCATTTGTTTTTTTCTTCACAGTCCTGGGGATCAAACCCAGGGCCTCGCACATGCCAGGTAAGTGCTCTGCCTCTGAGCTACACTCCAGTCCTTATTTATTTAAAAAGGTTGCTTCATACACCAGGGATGAAATTCAGTAAGGCTTGAGGTGGCTGCTGAGAGTTATGCCACGAGAGCAAGTGGACTGGTAAAGTTAGGGGACAGGATTAAAACTGGTTTCTCCCCCTTCATAATTTTAGTAGACTTGCTTTACTGAGCCATCACCTGAACTAACACACCCTTTATCTTTTGCAAACATAGAGATGATATTTTGATCATAAGATGTTGTCCGCAGTCAAATTCTCCCTGTTCCATGCTATAGACAGACAAGACCACAGTTTGATTTTCTGTGTTCTTGGTGGAGCACTCCATGAGGTTCTGATTTTAGAGCATTGGCTTTAAAAAAACATCTGTCACCAGTCCAGAGTAAACAAAACCCTAATTGCTTATAATACTGTATCTCCCTATTTGTATCCACACCCTTCAATCACAGTGTCTTTAAAAAAATTAATCTTTCTTTATACTTCTAAAACTCCCATCCATGTGTAAGAAAACCCCATTCATTACAGCAGCACTGCTCTTCCAAGTTATGGTCAAGTCCCTCACCACCCCTCCCTTTCCCTCCTTCCCCTGACCACCCTTCCCTTCTGCCCAGCACCTAAAAACAGGGATCACGCCGTGGGGTGACGAACAGTGGTGCAGTCTTGCCTGGCCTTCTGCTACTAAGCTGAAATAGAGGAAACAGAGAGAACAAAAGGAGTTTTTAAGAACCAAGTAAATATCAGGGAAGGCTGGCATGCAACCAATTGCATTCAACACGAGCTATTTCTCTGCCGGGTCAAAGTCTCATGCCTGCTGAGGTTAAGACTGCAATTAGATGACGCAAAAAATATAGTTCTAACTACCTCAGGGGCAAATGTATCCCCTGTGATTTTCCAATTCTCACCTGCAGACCACATATCACATGCACATGTCTGTACATGTATGCACATGTAAACATACCTGGACAGAATGATAAATACTCGGGCAAGGATCATGCACATTCAAATCAAATTTTCAGGGCTCTCATCTTTCAGGCCAGAGTGCCTGCAACCATCCCCACCCTGTCAAGGCCTCCCTCACCCCAGGAAGGATCCTACACTCCTACAGGCACAGCTAATAGTTTTGGTTTCACTCCTCTTCCTACCTCATTCCCAGCAGTTTCACTGCTTCCCAGAAATACACAAAAGTCAGAGAGTGTTTCTGTTAAGAGTGGGTGGAGTTAACTCAGAGCCAGGGAAACAAGGCAAGGCAGAGGCAGCACACACTTAACTTGGACAGGCAAAAAAAAGAAGCAAAATGGCCACATACCCACAGCCACGTCTCATGCAGATAAAGGACAAACCCTCTCGCAGTCCCAGACAGCAGGGGAGCTCAGGTTAGATGAGGACCAGGCCCTTTAGAATCCACTGCACCGAGTCAGCAGCCGATTATGCTGAGGCAGGCAGCGTCATTTACTGGATGTGCCACTGACTTTCTAATGGTTTTTCCAGAGGCCACAGGTTTTTAAAGCTTTTCACGGGGCCCATTCATCTGTTTATCACCATGCATAGCATGGACTGGGGAAATGCGTAATAGCTGGGGAGCTAAGGTTACAATTAAAAGCTGGCTCTTGTCATTAAGTGGTCTTCTTTTTGGCTGGTCTTTTCTTGGGTGTCTTTGGATTCCACCGTCATGAAATAAGGGGTGAAGGGTTGAATCTGAGAGAAAGAAGGTTTATGTTTTGAAGAGGCACATTTAATTTGGGTTTTAAGTCCTGGACTCGGACTGGCTTGGAATAAATTCTCATCAAACTGAGTCCTAGAATCCATAACCTCCAAATGTTTTGCTCACACTTGGCAACAGAGGTGAACATTGAAAACAAAAGCAAACTTAACTGGTGCTGTTTTTGGAGAAGTAGGCTTGGCTGTTCTTAGAGGTCCAGACTGGATGTCCAGAAGACAGTCTCAGTTCCAAAGGACTTTCACCTGGCTGAATTCTTAGGCAACAATTCCATTTTTAGATCAAAGCCCCAAATGGTGTAGATCACAGAAATATTCCATCTTGGCCTGGATCTTTATACTTTGATACCTAGTAATTTCTGGAATTTGTAATGGGTTTTTTTTCCTTTCATTTGGGGGGGGAGGGGAATTAATGATCCCTTTCTACCCAGTGACTCATGTTGCTTTTCACTGGAGGCTGACAACAGGTAGACTTCCTTGCCAACAATGTGCATCAGGAACTGTGACCCTACTTGACTTCACCTGACCCTGGACTTGTAGCCAGCTACTGGAGGTGGGATAAATACTGAGGCTTTGGAATGGGGGTGCCTGGGATTTACTTCGGTCAAAAAAAATAAAATAGAGGAAGTGGCACTGTGGCTCAAGTGGTAGAATGCTAGTCTTGAGTTGAAGATCTCAGGGACAGCGCATAGACTTCAAGCCCCACAACCAACCAAAAAAAAAAAAAAAGCAAAAAATAAAATCAAGACAATGCTGCTAAAGAAGTAAATAGCTTGAAAAGCAATCTAGATCAAGACATAGAAAGTAGGAATAAACAAATACTTATACTATACACACAGATGAGATGAGAGTGGCACACACCAAGATGTATCAAGTAAGTGCTTTTTAATCAATACATCCAAAGGTATTTTTGCTAGCCTGAGGAAGGAAGCTTCCTTCTGCCTACCTTGCCATTTCTGCCCGCTCCCTCAGTAGAGAAAGGAAGAAGAAATTCCTTTTTGAACCCACAACATTAGATAAACATAACCAAGTCTTTACATGTGGCTTTGGAGAAGGCTGCTAGGATGCTTGCAAACACGACATCCGGGGTCTGGGATGCATCAATAGCAGAGTGGATTCCCCGTTTACTGTAGTACTCTACCAGCGGGGTGGTCTGAGTGTGGTAAGCCTCCAAGCGGATCTTCAAGGCCTTCTCATTATCATCTGATCGCCGGATCAGGGGTTCCCCAGTGATCTGAGAATAAGATGTGGGGAGAGTGAAAAGTTGGGACTATGACCAACTCTCCTTTACCTATGCCAGAAGCAGATAGGAGATAAGACCATTCTACCTAAGGTGCTGTCTATTCCCACAGTGCATCAAAGGCAAAGACACATAAGCTAGACACTTTCAATGAAGAAGTGCGCTACTCTCAGAAGTAGACCAGCTGGTGCAGAGAAGTCAGGGAGAAACAGCAACTACAAGGAAAATGGACTCACTGAAGGAAGAAAGGCAATTCTCTCTAACAGCTCTGGGCTCAGGCTGTTCAGCTTCCAAGACAAATACTTCCAGGGTTAGAAGAAGGAAGATAGAGGCCTCAGAGCTGCATTAGCAAGTGTAATGCTAATTGTCTAAATACTTAGCATAGTTATTAAAGCAACATTCACTAATATTCTAAAAGAAGCAAATGAAAAGAGGAAGAACTCTAAATGGTAGAATTAGCAATACTGTGAAATATGACTAAGTTGACATCGTGGGTTTGGAACATGTACACAGAAAGCTTGGATGACCTGATGAACTTGTCTCATATGACACAAGTAAACTGGGAAACTTCTCACTATTGCCTGAATGCTTTAAAACAGATCACATGCACTCTATTTAGAGAATGTATGAGAACCCATGGAACAGCACAGCAGTTTCTGGAGTATAGGAGCGTATTCTGGGGTAGGATGGGTCAATAAACTTCTCTTCAGTACTATTTTCCTCCTCTAATCCAGAGTTTCCTAGCAACCTTCTGATGAGGTGACAGCGTAGGGGGCCATAATGCCAGAAAAGGACTGTTCTGAGATGCTGGTAAACAGCTGGCACTGGCACTGGTAGGTGCTCTGAGGTCAAACAATAACTTATCTGGGAAACACTATCAAGAGCTGTCTTACCCATGTGATTTACTTGCTGTCTTACCCATGTGATTTACTTGATAAGGATAACTTGTCATGATTAAATCAGTAATATTGGTAAAAGAGTAGAAGTTTTTGTTGTTTGTTTTTAAAGAAAAGAAAGAAAACAGTAAAGGAAGAAATAAAATTCCCATCCCAGGTTTACATACGTCATCTTTCATGGGTTCTTTTGGGGGGTTGAACTCCTCATGGTAGGACCGGCCACTCATGGGATGAATCAGCCTGAAAGACAGCAAGTGATCGTGAGTCAGGCAGCCTGGAAGTTCCTCTGAGCCCAAGAATCTCCAGAATGACAAGTACAGGCAGAAACTGGACGGTAAGACTTTTTGCCCAACAGAGAATCCATCTATCCACACCTTTCACTTAGGAAAATAACTGACCTTGCTTAGGAAAATAACTAGGCCAATAATTCTGCCAACAGAAAAGTAGGATTTCTACTTTCACCCAGCATTATAATGAATGCCTGAAGAGGCAAACTGCTGGCTTTACTGCCTAATTCAGCACTTGAGAGAAGGAACTCTGTTGCTGGACTCACATAGCCATCCATTCTATTTTCACTCCTTCCTAGTCTAATTCCGACCTTAACCTATATCTAGCGGTCAGGAAATGAACAAACTGCAATCTGTTCTCCAGCAACACTTAAGGCGGGGAGAAATTGTGGAGCTAAGTAACTACATCCAATTTGATAACGCTTTTACAGAGATTGCTACAATGTGCTATGGGGACAGGAGACAGAGGAATATAGCCTACTGTTTCTTCCCTTCTGTTCTTTTGAGACTCTGTTATGTTGCCCAGCCTGGCCTCAAATTCATGATCCTCTAGCCTCAGGCTTCCAAGCAGCTGAGATTACAAGAATGTACCACCACTGTACCTGGCATAATCCTATTTTTCTACCCTTCTTTTATTACCAAAAAAGACCAGTATTAACAAAAAAGAACGTTTGATGGATGCAAATATGGACACCAGACAATGCAGAACTCCTCTGAGATGACATAGATCAAGGACCGCCTATTCATTCTGGGCCAATGTTCAATTCATTAGGAAAAATGACATATTAAACAATGTATGCCTATAATCCTAGCTACTCAGGAGGCTGAAATTTGAGGATTATATAGACAAATGTGAAAGACAACTCCAAGTAACCATCAAAAAGCTGGAAGTGAAGGTGTGGCTTAAAGCGGTAGAGCACCAGCCTTGAGAAAAAAAAAGGTAAGAGAGTAAGGCCCCAAGTTCAGGTCAGTACTGGGGGGAAAAAAAAGAAAAAAAAAACAAATCATGAAGATAGGCTTTTTTGTCACACATATAGTTCCAGGTTCTCAGGAGGCTAAGGTGGGAGAATACTTTGGCCTAGGAATTAAAGATGACTGTGAATAACTGACAGGCAGAATGAAGTACAAGCCAGAACAGCCCAAGAACAGATATTCATAGGACACTGAGGATATGATGCTGAATGCTCTTAGATAACAAGCCCTTGCTCCTGACTGGAGATGGTCATACACAGGAGCCCAGAAACTCAAGAAGGGAATGAGGCAGGCTCTGCTTAACTGCCAGGCTTGCTTGCATTGTGTACTTTCACCAAGCTGGAAGTGAAGGTGTTTCCACCTGTTGGCATGCATACATACATTCTTTGGTGGGGCCTGTAATGGCTACTCTAGGCCTGCCCAGTTGTTTGGAAGGTTGAGGGGATCAATATCTTAGCACATCAGTTGGGAAATGTGTTTACGCTTATTGCATTATCAGTAAAATGTGATAATTGCGTTTTATTCACAGTATCCTTATAGAAGGAGTCAAGATGATCCAGTTATTGAAAAAGGTTAAGTGGGGGAAGGCAGGGTAGCTCACAGAAATAAGTTCTTCTCAGCCAGGTGTTGGTGGCTCATGTCTGTAATCCCAGCTATTCAGGAGGCTGAGATGTGAGGATCACAGTTTGAAACCAGCCCAGTTAGAAAAGTCTGTGAGACACTTATTGCTAATAAACCACTAGTCTTAAGCAAAAGCACTAATCTTAAGCAAAAAAAAAAGCCAAGGGACAGTGTCCAGACCCTAAGTTCAAGCTCAGTACTGGTACCAAAACCTAAAAACCAACACTCTCTCCACCCAACAAAAAAGAAGTTAAGAGTGAGCAGGTGTGTAACTCAGTTTCATACAGTAAGGTTGGCTCCAGTATTAGAGTCCCTGGGACTACCACTTAAGCCATATTAAACTGACTAGTACTGGTCTCACTTTCTTCTGACCATCATATCAGCATAGTAAACTAGGAGGTAGAAAGCAGGTTTCTGGTACTAGCCCTACCATTCACCTGCCAGACAGACTTGAAAAACAGACCTTCACTCCTGTGGCATGCCCCATGAAGGTGTGGGTCCTCTTTATTCACACTAAACCACTCACATTGCAAACTGAGGGACCCAGTTTTTCCCTTCTTTCCTTCACTCAATCCTGCAACTTGTTCAGAAACTGTCTGCTCCCTCAACTAATAACGGCTCCATCACTCCATGTGGCTCACTAGTGATTCTCTCAATTTAATTTATATGCCAGCACCAAGATAATGTTCTTTAATGCTGTACTTTCCCCAACCCCTAGTTCAAGATTATTCCATGATGGCAGAAATCTTTGTCAAGTCTTTTCAGCCCAGAAGATCTGCTAAGCCCTCATACTGCTACCCAGCCCCCAGAATACTCCTTAAATTTTGGGCAGAAACATGTAGTACTAGCCCCCAATTCAGATTCATTTTTGTTTCTATTCCTTTTTGGGAAAACTTCACTGAAATTCTCTTCATCCACCAAGGTTGAGTGCATGTTACACTGCTCCTAGGCAGGCTTCCTCACTAGTCCTCAGATTCTAATCTTGGACTTCCTACTGCATCAAATACAGAGCAATCCAGATTTCATGCATGACTCTTGGAGGTCAGGGATGGACATCACTTTATTATTTTGCAGGGGTAGGGAATCTGTGTTCTGCCAAGGGCCATTGAGATATTTATAACATCATTTGCAGGTCATACACAGTTATCAATATAGGCAGATGGGTGATGGGAAGTCGAGCCAAGAGCCAAAGAAAATAAATGTCTGTCATGTAATGTATCAAATGACTTCAAGGGCCTTATATAGTATTCCCCATCTCTGTTCTTGAGTTTTTCCTAGTCTTTGACCTCAGGGCTAATATTGTGGCATGTAGAGATGTACTCAGGGTATTGGATCTATCCAGCCAAAGGCTCCCAGTGTTGCCTGGTTCTGCTAACATTTGCTTTGCATCTCAAGGACCCAGGTCTGATGACATCCTTATTGATAGCCTTACCATTTCTTAGCCTACATTATAACTTTGTCTTCTCTCTACCTAACAGGGGCACAAAGAAGCAAAAAGCCCTGCATTGAAGAAGTCTATAGAAGAGTTGGAACATGAAACTTGAACACTTGAAAAGAAAATTAACAAAGTAGAATCAATTGTATATCTACACAACCTTGCCAGATAACACTTTTCACATTTGGTATAGACTACCAACACATGGAAAAACAAAAATCAAAGTTATAGTCTAAGACATTTTCTTCCTAAATTAAAAACTTAGCCAATCATGTTAGCACACTCTTGTAATTCCAGCTACTTTGAGATAGAAGAGCAAATTTGAGGCTAGTTTGGACAATGTTAGCAAACCCTATCTCAAAAAGAAAATATACATGAAATGACTGGAAGCCTAGCTCAAGCGACAAAGCACTTGCCTATCAAGCATGAGACCCTGGGTTCTATTTGCCATCGCTACAAAATAGTTCCAAGTTGACACACAATCTAATGTGGTTGTAACCTTCATTTAATAGTGGCTGAAACACAAATATATGTCATAAGGGAATAATCAAGTAAAGAAAGCTTCCCTTAATACTGTGAAATATGCAACAATTGAAAATAATTTTCATGAATGTCTAGTTCAAGATGGTGGGCTGAGACTTTATTAAAATAACAACACATTAAAAAAGCTCTATCTCACAATAAAGAGGAATACGGAAGGCCCATTAGTGGTTGAGAGCTTCCAACATATTTCCGGAAGGCACAAAGCAGATGGCAGAGTGCAAAGAGAAATAGGGTTTAGGTAACAGCCTAAAACAGCTCTAAAGCAGCTCTTCAGAATAAACTTGTTCAGAAGCAAAAGCATTTCTATGCTGCACACAACTATTATAGAGAAAAACACACAAAAACTAAGGTGGCTATACTAAGAACAAGTTTTCCCTCCATTTTCTAAACTTTATGTAGCTAATCATATTTTTTTTGCTATAATAAAATTGCTATAATTTCTCAGAAATTGAAACACCTCTGTACAAACATCACAATAATAAACTAATGAACAAACAAATATCTGTTAGGAAGCTCTGGCGAGACCAGTAAGAGTAGGAAAAAGAGCAAGAATTAGATTTCTTCAAAGTAATTAAATAAATGAAGGTATTCACAAAGTAGAAAAGTAACTTACAAAATACCTATTGTCTTGCATATTATTTTTCTCATTATATGACTTATTTCGGTCTAATAGAAACAGCTTCCTGAAGAGATTTTTTTCATGACTATTTGGAAGACATGTACCTGTTCAAATGGAATTTACTAACAAGATTTTTAGGGCAGATTTTCTATTCATTCCTCAAAGAGGTATGTTTGTTTTGTTGGTTTTGTTTTTCTTTGCCAGTATTATTGCTTGAATTCGGACTTTTCAAGCTCTTTCTCTGAGCTTACTTGCTCAAGTCTGATGCACTAACAATTGACAACAAGCCTGGCTTCTTGCTTCTCACTTTTGCAGATGTAGCAGACTTTCTATTCAGGCTGGCTTTAAATCACAGTCTTCCAGATTTCAGACTTTTGAGTGCTAGGATTACAGGAATGAGCATGTCTGCCTTGGGTAATCAAAGAATTTTTAATTGATCACTATGTGACAAACAAGCATTCCATTCCATTAGAGGTATTTGCGTGACAGAGACACTTTACAAAAAAAATGTCCTGGAGCATTAATCGAGTTTGGCTGATTTATTAACTCATTCAGTCTTGCCTATAATAACATATTTCCATCACACAGATATGACTAATCAGGCCCTGTGGTAGGTATTCAGCCTGTAAAGAAGACATATTATGTCATTACTAGATTCCTGAGTGGAGAATACCAGCGTTGGGGTAGGAACAATGATTCTCTTGGACAATTACAGAAGGCCTTAGGTCATGGTGAAGAACCTCAAAATTGTACCCAATGAGGGAAGTGGTTAAGATTTCAAACTATAGATTCAGAAGAGAGCTTTCACATTTAATTTTTTTTACCTTGTACTTATTACCCTCTCACATCTCATTTTCCTAAGGACTTAATATAAGCAATAGCTATGAAATATATTAAGTTCTCCAATACTTCCATGTGCTAATTTACAGATGACCCAGGTATACATAAACCAAATCATATTATTTTTGTAATTAATAAAAATTTAGTGACAAAGTATGGCAGTTCCAATTGAAGCCATATTTAGAAAGCACTAGAACAGAGAGAGATACACACACACTTGAAAGGAATTTGACATTTCTTAGTATCTATTGTAAGCAAAACACTTATCCATATACTTTATGTCATCTAATATATGCACAGCAATTCTTTGAGGCTGGTACTATTAACCGCATTCTCCATGTAAGGAAGCATCCTTGGACAGGTTAACAAATGTGCCTGCCTGACTTCAAATCCCTTGTTCTTTTTCCTGTATCACCACATCCCATGTCACACCCCAGTCACCAAATAAGACCAATCTATGTTGACATAGCACTTAGCTTCATGGCTGGGAGCAGGCAAGAGTAACTGTCATAATCTGATAAACCTCTGAAGAAGCATGAAAAGGAGAGACCTTCAAGGGACAGGTACCTTCCGGTGATTCTCCGAATGAGCAGGGAGTCTGGGATGCAGAACTCAATCACAGAATCAAGCTTCTCTTTCCTTTTCTCCATGAGGTCATCAAGCTGTAAAAGAGCATTTGACCCACTTAAGCTACCATACCTATATACTTCAAAGGAATTAAAAGGGTCAGGGCTGGGAAGGTGGCTCAGTGGTAGAGTGCTTGCCTCGAATGCATGAGGCCCTGGGTTCAATTCCTCAGCAACATATAAACAGAAAAAGTCAGAAGTGGTACTGTGGCTCAAGTGGTAGAATAATAGCCTTGAGCTGAAGAGCTCAGGGACAGCCGCCCAGGCCCAGAGTTCAAGCCCCACAACAGAAAGAAAGAAAGAGAGAGAGAGAGAGAGAGAGAGAGAGAGAGGGAGGGAGGGAAGGATCAGAGATCAGAGTTTGTCTTCATGCAATAGTGATACTACCCACCATTTCAGCCTGCCTCACAGTCCGAGGGAAGCCATCTAGAAGGAAGCCATTTTTGCATGAAGGGGTCTCCAAATTCTTCTCAATAAGCTCCACTACCATCTCATCACTCACCTGGACGTTAAGAACAAAGGAGCCAAGAGTTGAAATTTGTTATTATGTGCTATTAGCCCAACTTCAAGGTCAAAAGTTTGTGTGTGCATAACCTAATTACTTAATGAGATAAATTGCCTCTCCCTTTCCCTCTGCCCCTCTTTCTCTCCATCTCCCTCTCCTCCTCCTTCTCCTAGCAGCTGTGCTCCATCATGTGCTTTCCACCTTGTTCTGCTGGTAGGAGCCCAGAAACAATGAAGCCAAGTTACGTTACGCTGAACCCTCTGAAACCATGAGCCAAAATAAATATTCCCTCTTTTAAGTTAATCTTGTCACAGTGACTCAAAGCTGCCAGATTCAGGCCCCATTTGCCGGCTAACTTCAGGATTTTCATATTTGCCACATATATAGTCTCTTCTCCTGAAACTCTCCTGTGTTTCCATAAGCTGGTGAGGGAAGAGGGACTCCAAAGCCTCAGAAGAGCTCCATGTCACAGGTCCTGAAGGCCTTCCCTGCCATTAAATCAAGTCTTCAACACAAGATAACAGCTTAGTTTGAAACCAGCTGTTCTCAAGTCACAAGGAAAGTGAGGGCAAGGGCAGGGAACTTACCTGAGGAGAACTAGAGCTGGGACTGATCAGGGTGCAGGAAGGTACTAACTCTCCCAGATTCACCGTTTTCACTAGGCTAACAGTATCATGATTGAGATGTGTGCTTGTCACACATTTGGCCTACTTTGGACATACATGAAGTCCTGTACTTTTTGCCCAGGCCAGCTCCCGGCTGCAGTTCTTCTACCCGTGCCTCCTATATGCCTGGGATTACAAGTGTTTGCCTGCCTTTCATGTCCAAAATACTTCTGAGCCTCCCTAAAAATCTCAGGAAGGTTAAGAACTAGTGGCTCATACCTACAATCCTAGCCACTCAGAAGGCTGAGATCTGAGGATCACAGTTCAAAGACACTCTGGAAAGTCCATGAGACTCTTTGATCTTCAGTTAACTACCAAAAAGCAGAAGTGGAGCTATAGTTCAAGTGGTAGAATGCTAGCCTTGAGCAAAAAAACTCAGGGATAGCACCAATCCCTCCTGGTATTCAAAAAGAAATTTTTTTCTTTTTGTGCTTTTATAGAAATGAAAGTTCCTATTCTATATCATATAGATTGGCAAGCTATTACCTCTTAAAACCAGCTATGAATGTAGGGACAAAGTACGAATTCTATTACTAAGTGAAGACTGGAGATAAGCAATCTTATTGCCACATCCCAATTTTTTTCAGTAAAGAATTTTTTGCCAAGACCCAAAGTCCAAAATATCTAGCTTTCTGCTTGATTCAAGGCCTCCCTAAATTAAAGGGAAAGCTAGAAAGCAATGGGTAGAGGGGGCAGATAGATAATAGTACCACTCGATATAGTACCTCAAAGCCTAACAGGACATAACTCGGGGATGAAAATGAAGTTCATCCCTTATTCAACAAATATTCCCAGTGACCCTGTGTTCAGGGATCAATCTCTAGCATGAGCAAAAAACAAAACAAAAGCAAAGGATCATACATAAAATGACTTCTGAAAGTGATTCCCAGAGGTCAAGTTCCAGGATAACTATTAGAATTAAGCTCTGGCACTAATCAAAGACCTAGCAGACAATATATTGTATTTGTCCAATCAGACTAACTGGCTTAAAACTAGGACAATGCTATTATGGTCTCCAAACAGGAAGACTGCTTTTGTCACAGTGATCAACTTCTTTGGGTGAGACACTGAACACTGAACCACAGGAGTTAACAAATACTTCTGTGACCTCTCAAGTCTTCTCTGAATACATCCGTAAGTTCTAATCTAGAGACAGCAGTTTCATTTTTGACCTTATAATTTGGGTGGGTTTTTTTTTATTTTGGGGCTGGGGGTAGGGGGAGGCTGGAACTCACAGCCTGGGTGCTATCTCCGAGCTTTTTCACTCAAACCTAGTGCTCTACCACTGGAGTCACAGCTCCATTTCTGGCTTTTTGGTGGTTCAATGGAGATAAGTCTCACAGACTACCTGGGTTACTGGTGGCTCACGCCTATAATCCTAGCTACTCAGGAGGCTGAGATCTCAGGATCGTGGTTCAAAGCCAGCCCGGGCAGGAAAGTCCTTGAGACTCTTATCTCCAATAAACCACTAGGAAACTGGAAGTGGTGCTGTAGCTCAAGTGGTACAGCGCTGGCCTCGAGCTGAAGAGCTGAGGAAATGCCCAGAATTCAAGCCCCACAACCAACAACAACAGCAAAAAGTCTCACAGACTTTCCTGCCCAGGCTGGCTTTGAATCACAAGCATCAGACCTTTGCCATCTGAGTAGCTAGGATTACAGTTGTGAGCCACTGGTGCCTGGCAAATAAGGATGTATTTAAAAAGCATTCAAGTAGCTTCAAAGAAAACTGTGAAAAAATTAATCATCATAAATTCAGAATAAACTAAGTAACTTGCTATTCTGAAAGTTCACATTATCTACCAGTTTGTTAAAAAGATCCTCTAATTCAAGTTTCTTTCAGAAGGAAATGCTCTGTGTCTGCGTTTGCTGGTGAATGTCTGAAATGGCTTTGATACTAGACAGTTCAGATCTGCACTCAGAATGATCAGCATTCACTGGTATACTCACCAGCTTTCCAGCATCCATAGTTGCCTTCAGTTTTTTCCCAAGTTCTGAACCAGAAGCCACCATGGCCCTCAGCATATCACCAGTGGCCAAATGACAGACACAGAAGTTCTCAGCCAATTTTGGTGCCTGTGGAGAAAAACACAAAAACCAAGCTAAGATTTAAAACTGAAGGCCCTGGGTCGGATGGCCTGGGTATGAAGCAGGTCTATGCCATGTTTATACATGTTTATAAGGGGCTATGTGAACTCAAGCCTCAGTTCATCTATCTTACATTTTATTCTCATGTAAAATGATTATAGTAAAGCCGGGCCAGTGACTCACGCCTGTAATCCTAGCTACTCAGGAGGCTGAGATCTGAGGATCATGGTTCAAAGCCATCCCGGGCAGGAAAGTCTGTGAGACTCTTATCTCCAATACAAAACACTAGAAAACCGGAAGTGGTGCTGTGGCTCAAGCAGTAGAGCACTCGACTTGAGCTGAAAAGCACAGGGACAGCGCTGAAGCCCAGAGTTCAAGCCCCACAACTGACAAAATAAATAAATAAGTAAATAAAATAATTTTAAAAATGATTATAGGATTATGGTAACAAATATATTACAACATATGCAAAATACTTAAAACAGTACAACTAACAGAAAACAAGCCAATACTAGCTATTATTACTACATCCACTAGACAACAACACAGATCAGTTTCCCTATTATAAATGGGAATAAAAACAGCAGTATTATCAAGTGCTCACGGCTCATATCTATAATCCTAGGTACTTAGGAGACTGAGATCTGAGGATCACGGTTCAAAGTCAGCTCAGGAAGGAAAGTCCTGTGAGACACTTATTTCCAACTAACTACCAAAAAGCCAGAAATAGAGCTTTGGCTCAAAGTCATAGAGCACTAGCCTTGAGCACAAAAGCTCAAGGAAAGTGCCCAGGCCTTGAGTTCAAGCTCTAGGACTGATACACGTACACACACACACAAAAGCAGTATTAACACTTCACATAGCTGTTGCAAAGTGTAAATAAAACCATATATATATATACATACATACATACATACATATATATATATATATATATGGTATATGACACATATGAAACAAGGCATGGCACATAATATACTGAATACTTGCCACAGGAGAAAAGAACAGAGGTTTACTCCAGACAAATTTGGGTTCCTCCCCTTCCTTGTCAGTAGCACGTAGCTATGTCATTATCTTGGCCAATTCACTTAACTTTCCACAGGCTCAGCTTCCCTTTCTCATTTGCTTGATATAAAACAGAACAGGATCCTCTCAGAAGGTGGCTGTGAGGCTTAGATGAGATTATTTAGGCAGAACACTTGATGAGTTGTACAGTATAGTTCTCCCCGACTCACACTATTTAGTAGTCTGGCCTTAAACTCTGGCTTAGAATAAATTTTTTCTAAGGGCATGAAGTTAAGAGTCAATCTGCCTGGTCTTGGACTACAGGAGCACCCATCACTACATACCTAACTTGAGAAGTCATTTTACCTTTTTGGTTTCAAATTCCTGTGAAATGGAGATGTTAATCATGCCTGTCACCATTGAGTTGATAAGATGCTATGGCACTAGGCATTTGTAGCACACAGTACGTAAGTCCACAGTGAGCGTCCTCTGTTAGTCACCTCTTCCCTAGTCCTCTATTCACTTACATGGAAAGAAATCATTTACTTTACCAATGTCTCTCCAAAGAACTCTGTTAAGAGTCAAGGAAATAAATGAACAGGAGACATAGATCCTATTCTCAAAAGCTCATAGTTTTGAGCCAGGACTACAGCTTAGTGGCAAAGCACTTACCTAGCATGTACAATGTCTCTAAGAATCAAACCCAGTACTGCAAAAAGAGCTCCCAGTTTGGTGCACTATAAATCAGGATGCACAATTAGACTGGAAGAGATCTTGAATGGTTCAACATAGGTTTTGTTGTGGCTAAACAGGGAAAATAGAACTCACATGGAATTGAATCAGTTCAAGTAGCTCATGGCTATCTTTCTAGTTCAGTTGTTTCAGAAAATAAGTAGCTGGGTTCCAGTTCAAACCAGTTATTTGGGTCTTAATGCAGGAAATTCTGGTTTGTGATTCATGGATTAATTCAAGTGAAGACATTCCTTCAGAGCAAAACGGAACTCAGATGAGAAGGCATTACAAACTGCATCTTTAAATGTTTTTAAATTGTTATTATAAAGGCAATGTACAATTACATAAGCTAAAGTCAGGTAAAAAGTGTATTTCTTTTTGACAGTGTCACCTCTTCCCTCACTATACACTGCATCTTAATGTATAAAAGGGAGACTGGTGGAGGGGAGATCAGTGGGTGGGGAGAGGGAAAAAGGAGATGATACTGGGGCTGGGGAGGATGTGTGTGCATGTGTGCCCGTGCATATATGTAGATAGTATAATAAAACCCAGCTGGGTACTAGTGGCTTATGCCTGTAATCCTAGCTACTCAGGAGGCTGAGATCTGAGGATCATGGTTTTTCAAAGCCAGCCTGGGCAGGAAAGTCTGTGAGACTCATCTCCAATAAATCACAGAAAACCAGAAGTGGCACTGTGGCTCAGGTGGAAGAACACTAGCCTTGAGCTGAAGAGCTGAGGGACAGCGCCCAGGCCCAGAGTTCAAGCCCCATGACTGACAAAAAACAAACAAAAAAAACAAGCCAAGCAGGACTCTTATATACCATAAAGTATACACACTAGTACAAACCAAGACTACCTCTTTTACTTCCTGCTGGCCAAGTGGGGATCCATGTAATTGGCTGAATCCTGAGACCCTCAATAGCTCTGTGTTATCAGACTACTCAATTCTCAAGAGTTAGCTTTACCACTAATCAAGTGGGGACAATGGCTACTTCATAGGACCCTTAGGAAAGTAAATGGAATAAAATACAAAAATATCAGACCTTCAATAAGCACTCAACAAATACAAGACTTCCATGGTCTTTGTTGTTGTTGGTTATAGGGCTTGAACTCAGGGCCTGGGCACTGTCCCTGAGTATCTTTGTACTTAAGACTAGTGCTTAAGCCACAGTGCCACTTCTGGTTTTTGAGTGTTTTAATTGGAGATAAGAGTCCCACTGGGACTTTTCTGCCCTGGCTGGCTTTGAACTGCAATCCTCAGATCTTAGCCTCCTGAATACTAGGATTACAGGCATGAGCCATCAGGGCCTAGTATCATGGTCTTTCTTATGTTACCCTTTCTTTGCAGACTATAAAAGCCTGGTGAAATAACTTTATTGTAATTCCTTAGCACTTTAGACTTACATTTTACATTAGATTCTCTTACTCTGAATTACTTGGGCTGGTGGGAGGTGGGCAAGGAGTGATGCTAACTTGCAGATTTGATTCAGTACAGTAGGCATCTAGCATGTGTTTAGTTGGTTTTTTTTGGGGGGGTCCGGTCCTGGGGCCTGAACTCTGGGCCTGGGCACTATCCCTCGGCTCTTCAGCTCAAGGCTAGCACTCTACCACTTGAGCCACAGCACCACTTTCGGCTTTTTTCTTTTTGCTTATGTGGTGCTGAGGAATCGAACCCAGGGCCTCAGGCATGCAAGGCAAGCGCTCTACCACTGAGCCACCTTCCCATCCCCGCATGTGTTTAGTTTTAAGGCATCTCGTCTGGATGGGTGGCTGGCTTCTGGGCCACACTCTGAGAGGAAAGGTCTAGAATCCACATAACCACTCTGCTGCTGGCCACACTGATGCTGAGCTCAAGGAATAGGCTTAACACCTACCTCTACAAGAACCCTGACAATGGGGAGGACAGTGGGAGACTGTTTTAAGGCATGTGTAAGAATGGCTAAAAACACGAGAGGCACAGTATGTGGTTTTGTGTTTTCAAACTTTCGTGTACTGACAGACCCTGGCTTGCTATTGTTTGACTTATGAATCCTCTCTCCTCTCTCCTCTTTCTCCCTTTCCTCATCTCCCCATTTCTGCCTTGTGCTAGTACCAGGGCTCTATCAAGGCCCTTTTGTTCATTGCTGGCCTCCTCCAACTTAAGCCAAGCCTCCACTTCTGACTTTTTGCTGATTAATTGAAGAAAAGAGTCCAATTAACCAGCACATGTCTACCTGGGCTTGCTCTGGATGGTGATCCTTTGATCTCAGCCTCCTGAGTAGCTAGGAATACAGGCATGAGCCACTGGACCCAGCTAAATTTTCTTCCGTGCGCCACCCCCTCACCTTTTTTTGGTAAAAATACAAGTTTATTCTTAAATGTACAACAGACTCCCAAAACAACACTCATTCTAGTTACGGTTGGCAAGAGGTGTTATGGAAAGGAACTTGGATATTTAAATAGAAATGGAATCAAGAGACTCTATCATCTTAAGCAAGAGGAACAGATTGCTTTTTGCCACGTTTCTTTTTTTTTTTTTGTCAGGCATGGAGCTTGAACTCTGGGCCTGGGCACTGTCCAGGCTCTTCATCTCAAGGCTAGTGCTCTACCACTTGAGCCACAGCACCACTTCAGATTTTCTGTGATTTATTGGACATAAGAGTCTTTTACCTCTTATCTTTCTCTTCCTGCCCTGTCTGGCTTTGGACCGAAATTCTCAGATCTTAACCTCCTGAGTAGCTAGGATTACAGGTGTGAGCCACCAGCACCCAGCTGGCCTTATTTCTTACTTCCACCTGTGGCCAGGTTCCCTTTCCAGTGTCTTCACTCCTTTTCTTATTTCTGCTTGAAGTCTTATCTTCCCCATCCATCTCTTTTGGGCTGTTTCTTGAGCTACTTCAGGGATTTGGTCATCTTCATGGTTCATGGTTGGACATGGTTCCTGCCACCTGTGTGTGTTAGTCCAGGGGTTTGCATTCAGGGCCTGGGCGCTGTCCCTGAGCTTTTTTGTGCTCAAGGCTAGTGCTCTACCACTTGAGCCACAGCTCTACTTCTGGCCTTTTTGTTGGTCAATTGGAGGTAAGAATCTCACAGGGAATTTTCTGCCTGGGTGGCTTCAAACTGCAATCCTCGGTCACAGCCTCCTGAGTAGATAGGATTATAGGCATGAGCTGCCAGTGCCTGGCTTATGACTTTTAATGATGGGATACATTATCAGATTGTAATCCCATTTTAAAAAATCTGTATTATAAATATCCAAGGCACTTACTTAAAATACAAATGCCAGACCCATTCTTAAATTTTGTGATTGGGGGGCTGGGAAGGTGGCTCAGTGGTAAAGTGCTTGTCTTGTATGCATGAGGCCCTCAACACCACATAAACAAACAGCTGGAAGTGGCACTGTGGCTCAAGTGGAAGAGCGCTAACCTTGAGCTAAAGAGCTATAGGGGCAGCACCTAGGCCCAGAAATTAAGCCACATGATCGACAAAAAAAAAAAAAAAAAGAAAGAAAGAAATTATGATTGAATATTCTCAGGTAGTTATCTAGGTGGTTCTTCTTTCTTTTTTTCCTCTCCAGATAGGAACTCTTGCTTGATTCACTTGCTTCAACCTTCTAAGTGCTGGTATCACAGGCATGCACTACTACACTTGGCTAAGAAATACACTTGGTTTTGGCCACAGTACAGGAGCATCCTATTCCAGAAGGGAGAGAGAGAAACACAGTAAAAATAGCAGGACTGGCAATTATGGCTCAGGTGAAGGAGTGCCAGCAAATAAATAACCTCAATCAAGTATTTTAGTTGCTTTAAAACATTTTAATATAAAAACAGACCATTTTCAAATGGCTATTTTTTTTTTTTTATGAAACTGGGGTTTGAAGTCAGGGAATCATGCTTGCTAGGCAGATGCTGTAGTCCTTGGGCTATACCTCTAGCCCTTTAAATAGTTATTTTTAAATCAGGAGTTTTCAAAGGAAAGATAATCTCAGTCATGCCCATATGGAACACATGGAACTCTGAGTTATATAGGTATAACAGGAAGTAACAATGGGAAAAAACCAAATGTCACTGAGTAGGTTCCAGTTACTACGCCCTAGCTTAGGGATTTTACACCAAAGATTGCAAACACTTGCCGAAGATGGCCAGGCAGGGAGTGCAAATGAATGAACTAAGTCTAATGTGCACAAAAGGCTGTGAGGGGCCAGCAGGGAGCAATGGTGCCCTCCTAAATAGTACTGCCACACTGGTATGGAGGCCCACTGCTACCCAGTCTGTTCATTTCTCAAGAGAAACTGAAGCCCTAGCACAAGTGAAAACATTCAATTTAGTATTTTGAAAGTTGGCAAAAAAAGAATAAATGACGCATATACAGAACATAAGACTGGGTAATGAATAGAGAAAGGAACATTTCTTCTGATAAGAGTATCTCAGCCAGTAAATGAAAAGTGAATAGAATTAGGACACCAATCATTTTGTCATCCATAATGAATGACTGGACTGTGGCACTGAATAACAGTATCTGCAAACAACACAGAGGTGAGCAGACAGCAGGTGCTTCCTGACAGCGGAGCACCACTTGTGGTATTGGGCCCAAACCCTGAATCTGATTAAGCATATGAAGTAAACTAAGTAATTATAGGATCCATGACAGAGGCGGATATTAAATGCTAACAGGATACACGTGAAAATTCCTAGAATAAGGAATAGTACTCCCAGGATGTACTAGATTCTTTCACAAATATATAGTATAGAAAAAGAGAAAAGAGGGGTTGGGAAGGTAGGTCAGTGGTACAGTGCTTGCCTCATATGCATGAGGCTCTGGGTCCAATTCCTCAGTACCATATAAGCAGAAAAAGCTGGAAGTGGTGCTGTGGCTCAAAAAAAAAAAAAGAGAGAAAGGAATAAAAACTTGGGAGTTCAAATGATCACATTTGTAAGACAAATACTAACTTGAACACTAATTCCAATTAAAATCATTAACTTTTTTTTTTCAGTCATGGGGCTTCAACTCAGGACCTGGGTGCTGTCCCACAGCTCTTTTGCTCAAGGCTAACTAGCACTTACTACTTTGAGCCACAGTTCCACTTCTGATTGTCTGGTAGTTAATTGGAGATAAGAGTCTATGGGACTTTCCTGCTTAGGCTACCTTTGAACAATGATCCTCAATCTCAGCCTCCTGAGCAACTAGGATTACAGATATGAGCCATCAACTTCCATCTTAAAATTGTTAAAGAATAAAAATTAAAAAGTTAACTTTTTAGAGCACTCTGTGTGTGTGTGTGTGTTTAGGAGTGCATCAGTACTTAAAATTCTGGATCTTGTGTTCTGGCTAGGCCTTTTTCACTCACAGCTGGAGCTCTAATATTTGAGACATATATTTCCACTTCTAGCTCTTTGTTCATTAGCCAGAAATGAGAGATTATTGGATTTGTTTGCCTCAGCTGGCTGTGAACCATGATTCTCAGATCTCAGCCTCTTGAGTAGGCTTGATTGTAGGCATGAGCTACTGGTGCCCAGCTTGTACTTGTATTTTACAAGAATTTATCTTGCAGATATTCTGAAATATTCACAAATGATGTGTTATGGTACCTGAGAGTTGCTGTATAATGACTTGTAATAATTTGTAACTTGTAGGGAGAAGCAATAACCACCAATTGATGGTTACTGAGGCTCATTATATTATCCTTCTCTTCCATGCATTCAGAACTTATCATAATAAAAAGTTAGTGTGTGGGGGGTGTATCTGCAGGCTAAATGCTGCTGCTGTAGACTTCTGCAACCTCTGACTTATAAACTTTTTAAATACAATTACCAGAATTCCTATTGTTCTATGAACTGGGAAGAGTACCTAATTAAGCTAAATGACATCTGTAGCTCTTACCTTTTCCTTAAGTGCCACTTCTAATCCCTCCACTTCGCAAAGCTGTCTCCGAACAATTCTCACTATTCCTACACCTTTGTCAACCAGCCTGTAAGTGTAATTTTCTTCAAAAATTTGAAATAAATCATGTTTTATAAAGAAATACATCAAAATTGGAAGATGTGTTAGAAAGATGTGCGGGAAGATGTGTTAGAACAATAAGTGAGTCAATATTCATCAAACACCTATTATGCTAGGCTTTCTAGTATCCTTGTGAACTTTTTACTTTTCAGGTAAGAACATGGAGGCTCTGAAGTCACTGAACTTGCTAGATCATAAAACTCTTGTCTCAGCATTGGAATGGGCTGTTCATTTCACAACTACTCAAACTACTGACGTCAAAAGAAAAAAAAATCTCATTTGAACTATCCTGTTTGTACTTCACTAGTCATAGCACAAATCCACAGAATCTGGTGTGAAACCCTAAGGTTGCAGGTTACCTAATAACAGAAGTTGGCAGCAACAGGAAAAAGGAGTTATCGACATCACTGGGCACAAAGGAGGGGTCAGTACTGGTGGAGTCCCAAAGAGAAGTAGCTCAGTTTACAGACAGACCTGGGAAAGTGGTCCTTCCTAATCTAGTCCTTCCTAATCAGAAAGCCAAGTCACACTCATCGCCTATATTAATCATGTCATTCATCCTTTTCCACTAACCCCAACAAGTCTCAAGCTGTGTGCCACAAGGGCCCCCCAAATGAGCAAGATGGTCTATTTGCCCAGACTTCAGAATTTGGCAAGTGCCCGAAAAAGTGGAGAGAGCCCAGACCTACACAAATTCCTTCTTCATAGTCTAAGGATGAACTAGGGTCCAAGACCTAAGGTTTGATGTGGGAAGGATGGCAATGCTAAACCCTAAGGCAGAAAAGTGGCATCAACTACCCATCCCATGAGTTTGAGAATCTAAATGATATCATAAATCTGAACCCTAATCTATGACCCCATTACGGCCTAGATCTAGAGAGAGCCCAGATTCCAAGTGAAACCCTGTGATCTGCTAGGGCAGAAAGGCAACTACAATCTGGGTCTTCTAGGGACCCAAAGCTTCTAAATTTCGCTTCATGTCCAGGAAACTAATTTGACTAACTTGGGAAAGCCAGTTGATTTCTCTAGACTTGTTTCCTTACCTGTTGATCCGGGAAGTTATTTTGAGTTTCTTCGCATCTAAAATAATTTGAATCACCTGAGCAGCTGCTCAGCCTTCCTTCAGACTGATCCCGGAGTAGAGACCTCGTGTGCATTACCAACCCTTCATTGGGGCACTATTCAAAGGTTCAAACTCGTAAACCCTCATGGATCCAGAGGTTACAAACCAGATCTATTCTTCCACCTCCAGCTTTCCAGACAACCGGGGAGAATCTTAGGGTTTCCTCCCATCCCCCCACAACATAAAAAGGGCACCCAGGTCACACCTCACTCTTCTCAGTAGTACTTCTAATCAGTACATACCAGCTCCCACTCGGCCCCACGGGCAGGAAACAGCCCTCCACCCCAAGTCAATAATCATGATTAGAAAAGTTCTCCTCCTACTAGCGCCGGGGAGTAAACCTGATTCAGGACAATCCACTCCTAACTCGCAGGTACTCTGAAACTTCTGGCCTCCAGGTGGCCTGTAATCCAGAGTCTCAACCACCGGCTCCACCACTCCTTGAATCTCCCAGTCTCTTACCGCCGCCCCCCCCCCGCCCGCCCTGCTCCCCCCCCAAGGCATCTAACAGCCCCTAACATCCTTTACCACACCTTACTTCAGCCAGGGTCTTTCAAGGACCCCAATCCTAACCCAAACCTGCCGGCTTCCAATTTGGATCCTCCCCCTGAACACTTCACCAGACCGTAGCGAGTCCCCCCTCCTCACTAGGCCTCGGCCCATCACCAGATCCTGGACGAGAAAAGGCCTTTCCAGAGCTCAGGCCGCCCTGACCTTGGAGTTTCTCGGGCTCTACCACTGAGCCCGGTCTGGACGCTCACCTGGGTACCTTTGCCAGCTCCGGGAGGCCCCAACAGTACCGCCCGGATGCCTTTAGGATACTTCGGTTTGGGGTCGGTCGCTAACGCGGTGGGAGCCATGTCCGCCAAAACCTCTCACCGCCACCCGCCAAGCACACCTCCCAGGTCCAGTGCTTCCAGGCCAGCGCGCCACGCACACCACGCACGGCCCACTCGCCAAGGCTGCACATTGGCTGGGTACCGAGTCCGTCAGCCCTCTCGGTCCGCCCCTAGAACTAACGGACAGTTCAGTTTACCAATCGCTCATCGACACTGAGGAAGACTGCTTCTAATTGGATAGAATGAATTCTAGAGTAAGGAAGAGGCGGGCCATCACGAACTGAGTGGGGCGGGGTGTTCGTGAGGCTCGCGGCCTGTGTGCAGAGTGGGCGGGAAAACGTGAAGGCAGGCAGCGGCCAGGACAGGGAATTCTAGTTCGGCAATTGACAGTTAATGACAACTGCAACTCCCGTGGGCAATGGGTAAAATAACTCTTAGGAAACAAATAGATAACTTGTTTTACATACAAACACTTTAGTTCAGGAATTTAAAGGACATAATGATACATATTAAGTTTTGTGTAACAAAGATGTGGATGACTACCCAAATCCCAAAACGAAACAAAAAAACAAAAAAAAGAAAGCAAGAGATCAATTATATTAATTGCAACAAATGTGCGTATTGAACCTTTCCCATTGCGTGACTATCTAAATCACTGGGAAATGTTCATTTGTAGAAAACAAAATTACAGTTACAACAAAACTCCCAATTTTGTTTGATCATTACAAGTGGAGATCTCTGTCCCGTGACTAGAGCTTCTCTCCTTTGTGCAGTTTTATATTTCCATAATGAATTCTGTAATAAATAAACAGATACTACTTTTTAAAAGGGAGAAAAAGCAACCTTTTTAAAGTCAGGGGGAAAAAAGATCTATTTCTCAGGAGAAATGACTCTCAGACAGTGGAATAATTGCTACAGCTTTTTTGGTGTGTCAAAGTTTCATCTAGCCCCAAGAGTCACTTTGGACCTAAATTTAGTGAGAGTGTGATTAAGAAACCATTATGTTTGGCCTACAGGCTCATAGCAACTATATTCTACAACTTAGTAATGAAATTGCTCTCCAGTTACTTCTACTGTACATCCCAGAAGTTAACCTTCACTTCTCATCTCCACACTGGGCTTTTACAAGTTGCTTCCTTGATCTTGTTGGGTCCTCCCAGTGACTTAGAAGGAAGCAGAGATTGTCACACCCTTTTTTTTTTCCCCCCCAGAAAGGAAGCTGAAGTCTGGAGATAGACTGTGATCAATCCACAGTTACACAATAGCAGAATTACAAAAGACTGGGGATGACAAGCTGGCACCCCAGAGGGCACAATGCTCTGGCAAGTAAGCACTTTCTCTTTGGTGGAAGCTTCTATGTACCCAAAACTTGTTTCTAATAAGACAAGTTTCTTGGGATTTGCTGTGAGCAGGGCATTAAGAAAGGGGTAATGGAGCTGCCTTGCCTTTCCACTACCAATTCCCATAATAATTTCCTTCAGGCATGGACTCCTGGGAGGAAAAGCAGCTAAGACTACACATGAAGACACAAAATGTAAGATTTATCCGTTCCGCTAAAATAGTCAAGGCTTTGGGGGCATAGTAAGGAGCCATAAGAATATTGTCATTCCAGGACAAGAGCAACCCTCATTCATTTAGTCACTCAACTATTAATCTTTAATTATAACTGCACTAATCTACCTATTACTGGGTACTATGTATCAAGCAGTGGGCTAAGAATTTTACATGTATTAGCTCACCTACTTCTTACAGCTACCTATAGATAAGTAGCTACTTTATTATCTGGCTTTAACAACAACAACAAAAATGTGTGTGTGCCGTTAGTGTTGCTTGGACTCAGGGCCTGGATGCTCTTCCTTAGCTTTTTTGGCTTCAGGCTGGGGCTCCGCCACTTGAATACCAGCTCTACCTCCGGCTTTTTGATGGTTAACTGGTGATGAGTCTCTCTGATTTGTTGTCTAGGTTGGCTTCAAACCATGATCATCAGATCTCAACCTCCTAAGTAGCTAACAGGTGAGAGCCATAGGCCTGACTTATCAGCATTATGATTATTTTTTTAAACAGAGGAAGCTGACATACAGAAAGGTTAAGTATTGCACCTTGCCCGAGGTCACATGACTAGCTGTGGCTGAGCAGAGATTTGAGCTCTGGTCTGGCAAGCTGGCACCTAGCACTGTCAGGAAACAGACGTGGAGCTCACAGTCCATCTGGAGTTCATCAGGTATGAAACAAAAATACCTTGAAAAAAAAGTACCTTTGACAGTATTTTCACAATAAAAAAAAGAAGAACCCTATATTGTAATAATGACCCTCTGAATGAACACTGTTGGATGCTGCTCTTTAGAGCCCCTCTCCACAGAATCTATTTTCACTTTCCTTTTGATTTTAAATAAACTTGCTCTGTCTGCTTTAAAAAAAAAAAAAAAGTACCTTTGAGTAGGAGACAGTTCAGGCTGACAGAACCTCCAGGAACAGAAGAAAGCAGATGTGCTATGGGTTTTATTCACTTGGTTTGGGAAATTGGGACGTTTCTGAGGCAGCGAAATAATGACCAAACTTGCATTATTTTATTTTATTTGTTGGTCATGGGGCTTGAACTCTGGGCCTGGGCACTGTCCCTGCACTCTTCAGCTCAAGGCCAGTGCTCTACCACTTGAGCCACAGCACCATTTCTGGTTTTCTAGTGGTTTATTGGAGATAAGAGTCTTACAACTTTCCTGCTAGACTGGCTTTGAACTGTCACCCTCAGATCTCAGCCTCCTGAGTAGCTAGGATTACAGGTGTGAGCCACCGGCCCCCTGGCTTGAATTATTTTATTGATTTTTTTTGTCTGTCGTGGGGCTTGACCTCTGGGCCTAGGTGCTGTCCCTCAGCTCTTCAGCTCAAGGCTAGTGTTCTGCCACTTGAGCCACAGTGCCACTTCCACTTTTTCTGTTTATGTGGGGCTGAAGAATCAAACTCAGGGCCTCATGCATTTGAGGCAAGCCCTCTACCACTGAGCCATCTTCCCAGCCCCAAATTTGCATTATTTAAAAATCATTTGCAGGACCAGACTGGAGAGGAGGGAAAGAAGTTAATGTAAGATCAGTTAAGCCAGGTGCGGTGGCTCACACCTGTAATCCTAGCTACTCAGGAGGCTGAGATCTGAGGATCACAATTCAAAGCCAGTCTGGCAGGAAAGTCCATGAGACTCTTATCTCCAATCAACTGCTCAGAAAACCAGAAGTGATGCTGTGGCTCCAGTGGTAGAGTGCTAGCCTGGAGCTGAAGAGCTGAGGGACAGAGCCCAGGCCTACAGTTCAAGCCCCATGACTGGCAAAAAAAAAAAAGAAAAAAGAAAAGAAAAAGAAAAAAAAGACCAGTTAAGAGTGTTTCTGAGCTAGGTGTCAGTGGCTTGTGCTGAGATTTGAGGATTGAAGTTTGAGGCCAGCCTGGGCAGGAAAGTCCATGAGACTCTTATCTCTTATTAACCAGCAACAAGCTGGAAGTGGAGACATGGCTCAAGTGGTAGAGCACTAGTCTCGGACAAAAAAGCTAAGGGACAGAATCCAGGCCCTGAGTTCAAGTCCCAGTACCTGAAGAAGAAAAAAAAAATGGCAGTATGATTCATTCCTGTATTCCTAGCTACAGCAAGAAGTCTAGGGAGGAAAATTACCATCCAAGGTCAGCCTCAGGTAAAAAGTGCAAGACTGCCGGGCGCTGGTGGCTCACGCCTGTAATCCTAGCTACTCAGGAGGCTGAGATCTGAGGATCTCGGTTCAAAGCCAGCCCGGGCAGGAGAGACCGTGAGACTTCTATCTCCAATAAACCACCAGAAAACCGGAAGTGGCGCTGTAGCTCAAGTGGTAGAGCGCTCGCCTTGAGCTGAAGA